CGCTCGCTTTCTCACCCCGTTCGTGCCCGCTGCCTACGCTGTCACTCGTCATGGCCCCTTGTATGCCCTGCGCCAGGTACCATCCCCGTTCGCCCGCCCCCGTTACTGCTCCGCTACCCCCGTGGCCTTCCCCAATGCCTCTTCCACCACCCTCTACTCCACGTGCACCTTACCTATATCCGCACCCGGGTTCACCCCTTTCCCGATAGCATTTAGCGCAAGCCACATCTCTATTGACTGCCCCGACTGTCGAAACCTTTCGACACGCAAAATTTCCAGTCGCCTCGACCGCTCCTCCCACTTCGTTATGACTCCGCGCAGGTTCAATCCTACTAACTGCCTAACTAACTAACATATCAGTAAAAGTATCATTATTATCGATGTCGCCTCGTTCGAAAACCCCCACCTCGCCTCTCTCCCCTCTCGATTCTGTTTAGGATCGAGGGCGCTGCAACCTTTGGGCTCCGTCCGACTCATCCTTCCATCGTCATTTCTCCTAACGAATTCCGCGCAAAAATGCGCCCCGATTCATCTCCCCTCCTGGTTGTCGTCAACCTCAACTCCTCGCTGCCCAACCACCGGTGCCCCGAGCGCCGAGCAATCGGTCGGGCAGTACTCAAATGTCGTAGTCAAACACCCGGGTATCGGCCTCCCCAACTTTATCCATCCGCCCCCGCAAAAGGACCGCGCCCGCTGGCCAGCTCCCCTTTTCACTACCGCTCTCGCTTGAACCCGGCGTGACCCGAGGCCAGACCCTCTTCCTGCACAACGAGCTCCGCCACTCTCCAACCAGCTCGCTGCTGTCGCCTCCGCTCGTCTCTGCCGCCGTGGCCCAGTCAAAACTGCCGCCCGGGCTTAGTACCCTGTCGCACCCGCTGGGCTCCGCCCGACCTGTCTGTCCCCACGATCCCGGTGCTGCGCGCACTGTCCCTCTGGCCCCCCTTTTGCCACCGGGTACCCTCGGCGCAATACCGAGCCCGAGTCCGTTTGCTTCCCACGACGCCCGCCACTCCGCTACACTATCACCCCTCCCCTAACCGTGCTACGCCGGCTGGCCAGCCCCGCCACTCGCTCCTGGCCTCGCCTAACCCGGGCGGGACCCGCGACCAGATCCTCTCCTCACCCTCCCCGCCGGGGACTACCGAATGCCTCGAGGACCAAATCGAGGTGGTACCCCACCCGTGGCTCTTCCAAGTTCGGACCGCCAGCCGTGATACCGCGCCCCTTGAATCAGAACGGGACCGTGGATAATAATGAGAACAATAAATAGAAATAAAGAAACAAAACAAAAAAAATAACGTAAAATAACTTATACATATATATGTAAAAGATCCTAAAGACGGAGTGGGACTGCTAACACCCTACCGGTTCCGTAGGTCGGGTCCGTTGTAGCACCCACCAGCAAAACTGAGGGGGGATAGCCTTGTCGAGCCCTCAACCCCCTCAGTTCCCGCCATGATGCTCCGCCGCTGCTGCACCGACGCCTGCTGGCCTCGATCCCTGAGTCCCTGTAGTAGTAGCCCAACGCCGTAACCTATAGGGCTAAGCCCAGGCCTGGTACAATAGAGCGCGGGCTTCAATGTGAAGTGGTGTCGCGTCGTGCCCAGGCCTGGGAAAAACAGCCTAGGCCCTCCTTTCCCACCTTCAACCGGCGCGCCAACGCCCGACACTCACGCTAGCCTACTTAGACCCCATTGCGGCCAACCCTCGCACCTACCGGCGTGTCAGCCCTACCGTCGGTCGCGCACACCACCCAAGAACGACTTTAATCCACTAAACAAAAACCGCAGCACGGCCCAGGTCGGTCGACTAGACAGGCTGCTCCCTTAACCAGAAAAATCACACGCGCGCCTTAAAACTGCGCGCCCACATACCTTCTAGCTTAGTCAGGACGGGTCCCGGACGCGACCGTACCTCGCCCGACTTATACCGACCATTTTTCTATCATTTGCAAAAACCAGTGCGGATACCCTTGTAAGGGTATTCGCGTCGACATCCTACCGGACTATATTAAGCGACGTCCCCGTCGCTACGCCAAATCAGAAGGCTACAAATTCATTCACACTCCAAAATGCTGACGAGGGCGGAACCAATTCCGATTAGCCGACAGACTCAGGGTTGGGGCCTCTAACATTCCATGCCAACATAACTATATGCTGTCAGAATTTCAACCTTGGTTTCCGTTGTCCTGACTCTAGGACGGAGGTGTATTACGCATCAATACTACAACATAAGTTCCAAGGGCCACCTCAAACCGTCCCCCCCCCTTCATCCTAGACAAACGCCGACTTTTCGTTGGGGTGTCCCAGTTAGACTCTCTCTTGTAATCAGAGTCATACGGGGACGCGGGCCTTAGATGAGACCTCAGAAGGCACTCTCGCCTCCCTCGCGAAAGTCCTCACAATCAAGCATATATATATATATATATATATATATATAGACGTAAATCTCCTCTCAGCTCTTTCTGCAGTCTAGTACAAAAATGCTAGGTCTTCATTCTGGCCCACCATAGCCTGGTTGATCGAGCCAGATCTATGACCTACCGCATTGTTGTCTTAGCGGCAGTCCCTTCGTTGGTTATGCAACGATAGGTTTTCTCCTGATAGGCATTCAATCAGGGCGCCCAAACGACTCGACTCGTATCCCCCGCCATCCCATCGGAGTAATTTCCCTGGGGCGTGCATAACCCCTTAAGCTTTTACCCCATTGGTAGGCGTGGGCCCGCAGCCAGGTTGTGCTGGCTTGCAGCCATCCAATAGAGGTTACGCCCTAGAGGTGCTAACCTTTACCGTTTAGTTTGGTATTCCTCAAACTGCCTTAGGATTAGCACAAGTGGCTAGGCGGTGCGTCGCAAAACAACTTACAGGGCCACTGCGGGACGACGCAGGGACCCGCCCTACTTTTAAGGGTATTTACCAGTCCCCTATGGGACAACATAGAGGGCACGGCCCCTTCTCACAATCACAAACAATTTCACCGCTAAACTCACATGAGGCCGTGGCCTACTGACTTGATCAGAGACAGCAGACCACGCATCCCACGACATCTTTATGCACTGACTTGCGACCTTCTCAGTTCCACCCATGATTCCAACTCGTAACCCTGGTTCACCTCGTCAGACTTTATCATTCAAACATTGCTTACCATGTCCTTAAATCTATCACCCATTTTTCACATGAAGGGGGTCTCTCTCAACAGGCCTCCCAGCTACCTCTCTCTTTACAGGATGGACTATCACGTGACCTGGGTTACACTGCCGTCAATAGACAACTTCCCCACCTTCCCTAATCCGAGGGGTCTCAATTATAAAACAACTCAACTGAGGAGCCTTCTTATGGGCTGCCTCCCCAACTTAAACGCAAAACAACTCAAACTAAGGGGCCAACTTATGGGTCCCCTTTCACAGCTCAGCCATAAACATTCGGCATGGTAAGCATGCGAGCCTTATAGGCTCGCAAGACCCCTCAGGGTCCTCATACATCTGTCACAAAACGACCGCGCTGCCTCCTCTTATACCCAGCCGTTCCGCCCGCCCATGGGCAGGCCGCACGAGTATACCGAAGAGTAGACGACAATCACAATCACATAATACACATACATGAGATGCATCCCACACATCTCTCACACAAAGCCCTCATTTATGGGGATAAGACCACACGTGTGAGAGTGATCGTGGCCGTCACAAGAGTAAATCCCACAGAGGGTGGAATCAAAATATACTCGGGAGCAAAATATCTCCCTCAAGTCTCAACACGACACTCAACTCAAACCCTCAACACACAACTCGTAGGGTGTATTTGGGAACAAGAATGCCTGCCCCGAAAACACTCAAGTACTCACTCTACTGCCTCACCCCRCAGGATAAAATMAYGTCCCAAGTGTCATGGACTCTCAGAACCTACKCAGAGRTAMAAGTAAGAKTATCTGAATCACACAACTGAAAATGCAAGTCACGTATGTCGTAGATATCATACAACTAAGTCTCATCCCCTAGACCGTATCACACATAAAGCTCATGCCCATCACACACCGCCACCTATGTATATACAACTAGACGGGACTCGCCTGACCAACTCAGAATATGCACACCCCTATCACGGCCTCTTCGTACAGAGGAGCCTTAATCCTACTGTCATATAGACAGACCAGCCCCTACTCACTCATAGCCTCATGGTTATGTCTGTATAACTGTGCCCTACCCCCATCTGGAGCCCGCTCTACCACTCGTCCTTGCCTGTCGTACATTCTCCCACCACTCTCTGTTACTCTCCCGGCTGCCTTATCCTTGAGGAACTTCGGGCATTCAAGAGCTCTATGTATACCGTCCTTGCAGAAGAAGCACTGATCGTCTGATCTCCCTCGACACCTCCTCTTCTTCTTCTGGGACTCAGGCAACGACGACGTCTAACTAGTTCCCCTGCTCATCTCATGGCTCTGGGGCATACTCCATGACTCTGTCGGCCCCACCTCCATCATCTGGGTACTCGGCCCTGCTAGCGCCTCACCTCCCTCGGGTCGGTACGCTGGAGTGTCCAATCTCAGTGGCCTACCCCCGCGGACTCCTTCCATCGCAGTCGCCCCCTCGTCCCTATGCAGGTCAGAAGGCTGGGGAGTCACGGCAGTCGCTGGCTCGCTCATAACTTCCTGCTGCTGCTCTGAGATATGCTCTCCTGAGTCGGCTCCAGTAGCCCAAGAGCCTAACTGCGTCCTCAGCTCCTCTATCTCTGGTACACGCTCTGGGGTCTCCTGTCTTGAGGCTCTCCTGACGGCATGTCCAACTCCATAGCTGCCACTAACTCATCCAGTCAAGACGCCTCTCCCCCCATTGCCTCCAGCTCAGTGGATGCTGCTGCTCCCGTAAGGGCACCCTCCTGCACCTCCAAAAGGATCATAGGGGACTCCTCTGTGGGGCCCCCTTCCTTTACTGGAGGTTGGGGTCTCTGCGTCGGCTCGCCCTCAGGGATCTCAATCGTCAAAGGGGTGGCCTGTTGCGAGGCCAACTCTGTGGGCGTCCTAAAGCTGAACCTCCCCTCCTCGGCCTCCCGCCGTGCTGCCGCCTCTGCTGGGTCCAGGAATACCTTCCCCATTCCCTCCTGCTGTGGCGTCTCCGTCGTTCCTTCCTGGCCAAAGAGCCCCTGTACCTCCTTCCCCTGAATACCATACCGGCTCTGCTCCATCCAGTCGACCACCTTAGTGGCCGAGAGCCTCTCTACCATCGCCGCCATGTCCTGAAGCCTCTTCTCCCACTCCGCCTCCTTGGCTTCCATGCGGGTCCTCCACGCCTGGTTCTCTGCCCTCTCTTCTGCCAGTTGGGTGGACAATTGTCCCACGTCTAACCTCGAGGCCGCCAACTCATCGTTGAGCATGGAGTACCGTTGGAAGGACGAGACCGCCACCTCACCTATCCTCTTATCTGCACGCTCAATCTCCATCCTGGCGGCTGAAAATCCCAAGTCCTCTGTTTCTCGTGCCTCGCCCACCCTCGCATTCTCCTATCCTGCCTCCCGTGACCTCAGGCGAGCATCATCTCTCTCACCCTCATAGCTGGCCCAAGCCTCGCTAATCCTCTGCTCACTCGTCGGAGGGTCAATTGGCGGCCTTGGCGCTTCTCTTGCGGCCTCCATCCTGAGCTTTTCCTGGTATAACTCCTCGAGGCGTACCTGCACCCTCGCGCGCTTTTCTTCTTTCGTCTCCCCTGATGGCCTCCTTGCCTGCATCTCATGGGTCTCTCTCACTCGTCCCCTCCTCTGTGGGTGGCGGCCTTGGCGGAGGCTCCCTGGGTGTCGGCACCTCCACATCCATGCGTTCACCTGTAGGCTCAGTTAGATGTGGTACCATAGTAGTAGGTGTCCTCGCTCTCTCGCCCTCCTCTGGCTCCGCCTGCGTCGGAGGTGGCATAGTAGTTTCCGATGGAGGCCCCAACATTTCCTCGCTGCCCGGCTCAGGAATTCCTTCAGTCCAATACTGTCGTGCCTGTTCCGGAATCGGGGCAGGAGGAGGGGTATCATCCCCAACAGTGATAACCCCCTCAGTCTGCGGTTCCTTGCGTTCGCGAGACCCTGCCTCAGGCCCCGGCTCAGGTGGTTCCTCCTCTGGCTCATCCTCTACTGGCTCATACCGTGCCGGTCCGCTCTGGTCCGCTTCCAGTTGTGACGCCCCCCACTGGGACGCGTCGGGATGAGCCTCCAACCTGTCGAGCGGCGTCCTCAACGGCACCGCCTCTCCCCCCTCTGGTAACGTCGGCGACGGGCCCCGTAGATCACTACCCGTGATTCGACGAAACTCCACCTGCTCGAGTCCATAGGTAGGGGGTAGCTCCGCCGCCTAAGCTGGCCCCGCGGCCTGAACTGGCTCCACCGTCTGGGCGGCCCCTGCTGGCCCATCTCGCTGTGCCAAGGCCTTTCGGCCGCCTCTGGTCGTAGCGGCCCCTCTCGCCTCTGGGCCCCGTGGCCTCTTACTCCTCTGTCGTCTCTCCACCCTGGGCTCTGGTCTCTCGGGCTCCAGTCGTCGAAATGCCTGTCTCAACTGGCCCTGCAGTCCTCCCAGTCGCGTGCCCTATCCCAGATCTGCTTCGCCAACGACCTCTCTGCCCTCCGCGTCCAGAGGGGCAGCATCTGCATCCACTCCTCCTGCCCAGTCCCCTGGTCGCGCATATACTGCTCATAGGCCGGGATAAACTCCTCCGCATTGCCTTCCTCCAATTGAATAGGCAATCCATCCGGTCCCATCGGCAAAGCCCTCAGCATCTGCATCCTCGCCTCCACATCCTGCCATGTCAACGCCTCCTCTCGAATGTGCGCAATAGGTTCCTCGAAGCGCCCGACTCCCCTCAGGTTCTGTATCCTCTCCAAGGTAGACCAACCCTCCCGTGTCACATGTGCCTGGTAGGAGTCCAGAAAAAAGCTCTATGTTACCGTCGTCGAAGATAGGCGTAGACTCCCTCCCAACCGGTCTGCGCGAGTCATCCTCTCCTGATGCTCCCTGAGGCCCCTGTCGTGGCCGCGCGCCCCTCCCGCCCCTCTGCATGGCTGTCTTCGGAAAGTCAGACCTGCACAACAGGCGAGAGAAAGCAAGCAGGCACACCACAAGGTTAGCCCTCGGTTCATCAAGTTTTTATGACAATACACATGCCTTTTTCTACTCCCTCACCTGTCCTGACCATAACATGCGATACCTCAAGGACCAGTCTACTCTGAGAAAGGTAGAGTTTTTTACCTATTCCCTGGCCACGAATTTCTTCAGCCTGGTCCCTGATACCCAATCCTGCCAGCCCGTCCCGTCCAGCTCCTCGATCTGATAGGCCCCAAATTCGCCGCATCGCAATATTCTATAGGGCCCCAACCATCTCTTGTCAAGCTTCCTCGACCATTGCTTTTCCAAAGAGGAGTCGTATAATAATACGACATCCCCTACTGCCAATGGCTCCTTTCTTACTCGCACCATCTGGTCCCCCCTCATCTTATCTTCCATGCGACTTCTTTCCACCTGACCAGCGGCCTCTCGCAATCTTTCTTCGGCCGCCCCCACTTGCCGTGTCCGAATATCGAGCAGTTCTTCGAAAGACAGGTTTACCTCCAAGTCCTGGCGCCTCCACGTCTTCATAAAGCTTTCTATGGGAAATGTGGCATGCCTCCCATACCATATCGTGGCTGGCGCGTACTTGGTAGTCCTCTTTACCGTAACATTCTCCACGAAGAAAGTTGCGCGTAGGAACTTCGACCACTGACCAGGCTTGCCCTCTGTCCACTTAGCCAGGAGATTCGTGATGGTACTGTGCCCTCTTTCCACAGGAGCGTTCGCTTGAGGGTGTGCGGCCGTAGTATAGTTGGCCACTACGCCATACCCTGCAAGCAACGTCCTCACCTCATTGCAGGTAAACTCTGATCCTCGATCCATCACGAACTCCCTGACGAAAGGGTATCGCAGGTAATACTCCTCGATGCAGTTCGCCAAAACCGGGCCAGTCTTCGTTCAGATAGCTCGTCCGTCCACAAAGCCAGTAAGGTTATTCCGTGCATCGAAGATGTAGTTACACTCATTCTCCCCTGCTGGCATGAATAACAGGTCTAGGTGTACGACCACACCCACTTCCCTTTCTAACCTTGGCTGTAGGGGTTCTCCAGGCCTTTGCGCAGACCTCTCTTGACAAGGTATACAGGACCGACAGTATTTGGTAACCATCGTCAGCATCCCGTCCCAATGGTAGAGCTCGCTTATCTTCGCGCATGTGGCACTTACCCCTCTGTGCCCCCCTGCTATACCATCGTGTAGGGCCGCTATGATATCAATTTGCCGGTTTCTCCCACATACGATCCTCCTGGGGTTCCCGACCTGCCGCTTTATAAACAAGTGGCCGTCCCTTACCACATAGAGGTGCCTCATCTTCTGTGCCTTAGCACTTGCATCTCTATCGCTCATCTCACATGATAGGAGCAACCCCAATTCCTGGTAGATCCCATCGTACACCTCCGTCCGAAACGCCTCCTTGATTTCTCCTTCCTCGAATTCGTCGTCTCGGCTTTCAGGAACCAGAATCTCATCCTCCTCGTGACTGAACGAGCCCTTCCGGTCGAAGTCTCCCTGCAGGAGCGTATTGGTGAGCAGGTACATCCCTCCCATTAGCTGCTCATGCTCCTCTACCTGAGCGGGGYCTTCCTCTATTRTCCTCACTTYCTCCACCAGACTGTGCRTACCTGCCAACGCCAACTTCATYATCCAACCAACATCCTTAYTTCCCCACGGATCCTCCTCCTGAAAGGGCTTGAGGACTAACTCTTCCTTCTGCTCGTACCCCTTTGGTGCCAGCCATATGGGGTGGCTGACACAACTGGGCACTCGCAGGGACCATTCGTTTATGTGCAGGCAAACGTCCTCCTCTTGATCCAGAAACCCATCAACTGGCGGTGTGTCTTCTATCGATTCCTCGTCCAATCCGTCCCGGTTGATGCGGCTTAACCCATTTGCCCTGTTCTTGTTCTCTGGGATCCTTTCCAGCTCGAAATTAAACATTCAAATGTAGGTCAACCATCTTGCGATGGTTGGGTCAGATGGAGTATAATCCTTCAAGGAACGCACCAGTGCAGTAGGGTCCACCCTCAAGATGAGCCTCCTGCCAAAAACATAGTTCCGGAAGGTCCTTAGGCAATGAAGTACCGCCAACGTCTCCTTTTTGAACTGAGAGTAGTTCCTCTTAGTTGTATTGAGGGTACGACTTTCGAATCTTAGCGGCCTCTCCTTCCCCTCAGTATCTGCCTGAATCAGGACCCCTCCCAAGGCAGTTGGCCCAGCGTCCGTCTCAATGACGAATGGTCTTTCCTCCGTGACCTCATAGTTTGGCGTTCCCAATACCAAACCTCCTTCCTTAAACTCTCCCTTCATCCTATCGACCGCCTCTTCCTAGTCTTCGCCCCAGACCCATTCTTGATCCTGGCGCATCAACTTCCTTAAATGCTCCGTCTTCGTGGCAAAGTCCTTCATGAAGCTCCTCCAAAATCCGCACGTCCCAAGGAAGCTCCTCACATCCGTTATCGAGCGGAAGGGCACTGGCCACTCAAGAATCTTATCTGTCTTCTTTACGTCAAGCCTCTGCCCACTCTCATTGCAGACGAACCCTAGAATCGTGGCCTCCCTCATACAATGTTTCGACTTGGGGCCGCTCACCGTCAGGTTATGTTCCTCCAATAACCCCAGAACCTGATCGATGTCTTGGACATGCTTCCAGACAAAGCACCGCACACCGGGCATCACTTCATCTTCCTCCTTCTCCTTCGGACCTTTGACCGCCAGGTCATCGATATACGGCTGAGTGATATGTGGGCTGACCGTCTACATAGCTCTGATCATATGCCTTTGCACCATCGCCACTGCATTCGTTCAACCTTGAGGCGCCACGTTCATATGAATCAGTCCTCTGGGAGTGTGCATTGCCATTACGGGCCTGTCTGGCGGGTATACGGGGAATTGGTCATACCCCGAGTAGAGGTCTATAAGCGAGATTATAGGCCTCCCTGCGCACAATTCTGACAATGCGTCCACGTTCGGCAATCCTCCCGCGTCCCGCACTGTCACCGCATTTAACCGTTCAACTTGCAAGTCTTGCACCCACCTTAGCGTCCCATTTGGTTTAATAAAACAAAACCAAGGCGACGCGTACGGCCCACTGGAATAATCGGCCACGTGCGTTCGCATCTTGCCGTCGAGGTAGTCCACCACCATCTTTTCCTCGTCCGGATTGGGGTACCGTGTGCCCCTTAAATTCCATGGCTCGTGCGGAACGGTGTGGATTCGTATCGTCGGGATCTTGTCCACATCCAGCCTCCCACGCTCATCGTCATTGAAAGCATACGCGCGGTGCCTTTTCTTCATCAACCCCACCATCAACGCTCTTTCCTGGGGTGACAGGAAGTCGGGCTCCCCGATTATCAACTTCCCCTCATTCTCGTCGTTGATACGGCACGGCCCGGCCAACGAGTGCTCCCGCATACGCCATATCAATCCTCGTTCCCGCTCGTAGTAGGCTTCCTCATCCTCCGTGACGAGCACGGGAACTGGGCGACACTTCTTATCTACGGTCTTGTACCGCCTTTGGCAGCCTTGTTTAAGCCCTCCCCTAAAAAAGGTCGACTTGTCGTTCGGGCCTGGGCCATTGCAGGGCCTCCCCCCCCTCTTGGAAGCCGATACACCAACTCCACCTCTCCCACTTGAGGGTTCTCCAAAACCTGCTCCCTCAATGCCTTAATGGCCTCCGGATCCACCATGTCATGAGCCGACACCACCTTCATGGCCTTATTCACATCTGTGAGGCTCAGTGTCAGCACCTCAGCCTTATCCTCCTCCTCGGGCACTTCCCAGAGCCGTCTCCGCTCGTTCTTTGACTCCTCAAAGGTGAACGAGCCTAGATTGGGCCTATTCCTCCCGCTCCCCGGTCCCATGTTCCGGCAGGTGATAACTTCATAATTCCCACACGCCGGGTCGCACAGGAGCAGGATCATTGTTCCGTCGTACTTGTTGAAGATCAACATTTCCGTTCGGCACACGAACGACCGCCCCAGAAGGATGGGGTGATCGACATCAGGCATAACGAAAAAGCAGGTCCTGGCTCGCACCTTCCCAATCTCTATAATCACATTTGACGCTGTGCCGCAAAACGCGGCGTTGCAGTTAGCGCCGTGCAGCATGCCATGGTCCGAGCGGTCGATCTTCATGCCTATCATCACTGCCTCCTTCTCCCTGATGATGTTCATCTCTGCGCCCGTGTCCACCATCCCAGTACACTTCTGGTTCCTTATCACCAAATCCACCTGCCCACACGCCATACACTTCCAATCCATCCTTGTCCCTGCCTCAGTCCACTCCACCTCTCTAGGCAGGACCGTACTTAGATGGACATTTGGCACCAGCCTTCGCGAGAGTCGCCCTTTCAACTCCCCACGGAGCCTCGGCGCCGACGCCAGGATATCCTTCAGGTTCATTAAGTCGTTATGGCCTTCCAGGAGCTTGTCCACCATCCGTTCCACATCAAAACCTTCCTCCATCCGGACCGCGTACTTCTTCCTCTTAGGTACACTGTCGGGTAGGCTTGGCTCGGCCTCCTCCCGGGCTCCTCTCTTTTTGGCCCTCGGCTCCGCCCGCTGATCCTCCTCTTGTCGGAGCCTCTCATCCTCTTCGTCGTCATCCTCTTCCTCTTCCTCCGGGACCTCCACCACCTCTTTCCCGCGTCCTGGCTCCGGCTCCTTTCGAGGGGGTGCCTGACTGGGCTCTTGGCTAGGCCCGACCTTGTTTTGGCTCCTAGTCCGAGCCGCCTGTGGCACCCTCCCATGCGACGTGGGGGGTCTATAGGCCATCCCTGACCTAGGGTCCGTCCCTATAGTCGCCACTCTTGGGTACCCCTGTTGGCCTGGCGAAGGCTCAGGTCCGGAGTCGTAGAGGAAGACCTCAGGCAGATTGGCCTCCCAATCTCGCGCTTCTTCACACAGGGCCTGCAACTTCCGCTGGTACCTTCCCACCTTTTCCAGCAGATCTTCCATCCTCCCGAGGAGGACTATAGCCGACTCTCCTTCGCCTTCTTGCCCCTCGTCATCCGATTCGACGACTATTGGCTCCTCCCTTATAGTCCCCGCCTTTAGTCGCTGAGTGACCTCTTCACTATCCCCTACAATCTCCTCGACTCTTACGGTCGGCTCTTCCTTCTTCTACCACATCCTAAACATTGTCGGGGGTGCTGTGGGTCCCGCTGCTGCCCGCCAGAGAGCCTCTTGCCTGATTCCTCCCGGGGTCCTGGGGTCGATATGCTCACCCCACTTGTCATATATATCCCCGTCCATACAGGAGGAGATTAACCCTGACAATTCATCCTCCCGCCGCCGCTCGCAGAACCGCACAGTGTAGCCTACATCGCCACAATGCCAACAGGTGGCATTTCGTCAATCAAAGCGGGGCCTCCCATACCCTTGGCCCCCGTCCTGGCTGCCCCGGCCGCCTTGGTTCTGGCCCCTTTGACCATTCCAACCACCYCCACGACCCCCACCATTTCCTCCCCGGCCTCGGCCGCCACCTCCTTGACCCCCTTGACCTCGGCCTCCATTGCCTTGTCCGCCTTGTCCGCCTTGTCCTTGGTTTCCTCCACCAGCCACGCTAGCCTGCGAGGCCTGTTGGGAGGGAGGCGGTTGGGCCACAAACTGACCCTGGGCCGCAGGATAGCTCGGGGGCCCCATACTTGCCGCTGGGCCTGCATAAGGGACCATTTGCCCGGGGTGAGTTTGACTGCCCCCGCACGAGGTGCAGTGATTACAACTGGGCCAGGATGCAGGCTGACAATGCGGCACCCAGTGCCCACAAGCCGGCGGCGGCCCCATACATGACGGCCCGGTCGTCGCTGACGTTGTCGTGGCTGCAGGTGGCGGCGCAGCAATCGCTTGCGGGACCTGCCCTTTTCCGGATCCTTGACCCCCCACTTGTAAATTCCGCTGCTTCCTCTGGGCCTTGGTTAGAATCTGGGAGCCCGTCTCTTCTCTGCCATAGTCCTCGCGCGTAGCCTCCTCTTCCACTGCCCCCGACGCCCGGCCTTGGGCCATGGTCACCCCCCTCTTCTGCACTTCCGCCTCATTATCATACCCCAGCGCTGCCAATACGTCCGTGACGATCCTCTTCACCCCTGGGGTCCCGGACACGGTGGCGTCCCTTTCCTTTCTCTTGCGCCTTTGCAGCCGCACCTGGTGCTGCTCCACTTGGTCCAGGCTTCCATCTTCCACCCCTTTGTCGATAGTGGCCCAAGTGAGTTTCTCATTTCCCCCTCCGTGACCCGTCAGCTCCGAGGCCTCCGAGCCAGTAAGCAGACCCAAAAATATGGCACACTGCGTTTCTTCGGAGATCCCGTGCACCTTCCGCGCCTTCCTTTTAAACTCGTGCACAAACGCCCCAATCGTGGAGAAATCATCCTTGTTCATGGCCTCCAAATCCGCCATGGTTAACAAGCCATCCCCCAACCTATACTTTCTCTGCATCATGTCCCTGAACCTCGCCCGACTACCATTGGCGGCATTCCACGACCTTGCCCACTTCTTGATGGTGGCTATGAAGGACATATCTTAGAACTCGCTGGAGCTTGACCTCGTCTCACAGCCCCATCAGTGCTTGCTCCGTCAGCTCTAGCCAGTCGAACACCCGTTCTCCCTTAAAGTGGAATGTATCGACCTTCGGGAAATTGCTCGGCGCTCTCTCACGCTTATCCAGTGCATCGATGAGGTCGTCGAGCGTTACAAGTTTTCTCCCACCGTCCGCCATCTCCTCAGGCATTTTGATTAGCTGCCTTCGGCTTCAATCCCCTTGTTATAAGAAGCGATAGGACGAAAGGTTCCACTCAGCAGCCCATTCCTACACGATCCTATCGGACCGACCACCTAAACACCCGACACTCTGGACCTGGCAGACATTTCTCTCTCTACTTCCTACCTCCCTTGGGTTCACCTAAGTAAGACTTATTCTCATCACAAAATTCACTCACATACTCGTCTCGTTCATGCCATTAACAAAACGACCAATCAGATCAACATTCACACCCACACAGCCATATAGACTACTATACGTTTCATCTCATAGTTCTTCTCTTATTTGCTCACGTGCCTAGTTCTCTCTCATTCTCATACCCGGATGTCGGTCCACCAAGGACAACGGTAAGTTTCCGTCATCCCCGGCAACGGCGCCACCTGTCGAGCGCATCGGTCCGGCGCCGCACGTGGTAGCGCGGGACCCTCTCGGTCGCGTCACGCAGGAGTTGGACCAACCTCGACACGAACACGCACATGGAGCTTCCTTAGGCCGCTCCGACCGAGTGCGCCAGCCATACCTCTCGCGAGCCCCTACGACAGGATAGGGCCTACCCGAGGCACAACTTACCTCCACCTTACGGGAGCTGTCACCTCCCTTCGGTGGGCGTATCCCCGTCGAGCTACCAGTCCACAGTACGAAAGCTACTCGGTTGCAATCGCAGAGGTGGACCAACCGAGGTCGTTTCTCGTTCGCTATAGCATAGGAGGTACGCGCGGTAATACGCCTATCGCACCCGCACGTGAACCGACATCTTGGGGAGATGGAGTCCCAAGCGCGGCCCGACATCGGTCAACTAGGACGCATCCCACACACCACGCGCACACCACCTTACGAACACAATAATAAAACACACGCACACACACATACGAAACGACACAACGCAAACAACGCGACAACGCTCCTAGCCCCTCGGTAGCCAACCCATAAATTTCCGATGCAGAAATCAGATAGACGTCACGCGAGACTCAGTATAGAAGTCGCGCGGACGCAGGGCTAACTCATGTCGACTCGCAATGCAAACGCACGCACGCGGTCGTAGTGATGGCGTACTATGTAGTACCCATACTCACGTGGTCCTCATTACTTTCGAGGGTCACATTCGACACTCAAGTGTCGGCTGACACGCGCCTTGAGGGTTAATCTCTCGACGCTAGACAACCGTTGTGCTCGGTTGAAAACCACACCCACTTTTGCACCCTGTGCAGAGGGGTTGAGTAAACAGCTTTAAGCTGTCATGGCGGTCGAACATCAAGGGGTTTGACTTTGACGGCCGCCACGGACTACAACGTCCAACCATGAAAACGCAAAAAAAGGAGACTCACTACGACTCCCATTAGCTATTGGCCCTCTAAAATGGAAAGGGGGTGGATAAGCTGAAACGACGCGCGCGCGGAGGAGGTCCGGTATCCTATCCATAGGCTACCCGGCGTTCGGGATAATGAGGTCCCGGCATAATGAGGTCCGTGCACGGACCCCCAAAGGCTGACCGGAGTTAGTCCTCCGCCCACGTGCCACTTCATGTTACCAAGACCCCAAGTTTAGTGGTTGTGTCGCGTTCGTGATCTCGCCGCCTGACCCATAACTCTTTTAGTGCGGATGCGACGAGTGTCGCTCGCGAACTTAGTATAAGATCGCGAGGGTGCTGGACTTACACATACTATCTCGCTATGCAGTTCCACGCGAGTAGCCGCGATGACGGCGCATTGTGTAGTGCCTACACCCAAATGGCCTATTCTGAGCCAAAGGGTCACCTTTCGACGCTCAGGCGTTGGCTTAAGCGCGAGCCAATGAGGGTAATCCCTTTAGCGCGCGTAAAACCAGCATGAGGGTTTGTCCGTCTTCAGCACCCTGAGGTGTCCCTACGGGTGCGGGGCAAGACGACCCCTAGGGCAGGAGGAAGTTTGGAGCGGTAGTGAGTTGTCTGACGCATCACCAGCAACACGCTGACCCTTCCGCCCGGAACTTCATCGTTCCACCAAGATAAATCGCAACGAGGAAAAGAAACAAGAATTGGCGAGGGATATCCCCTCCCTTCTATTCACCCCGCCCTTCGACTGACCCTTAGTACGCGGGCACTTCAGGCCACGCTAGCTCCACACGTAGGTACACATGTACTGACACATATATATATACATGCACAAGGAGAATAATTATGTGACGATCCCTTCTCAAAGTCATAGTGGGCCTTCTCCTAGCTATACATATATATGTGATCGCAAGGCAGCCCAACCAAAACCCCAAGTCTTTGAACATACCTGCAATCACATCAAAAGTCAGACAAGAGTCCACACACTACGCGAAGTCAACTCCAACCAGTTCCTATACTCATACCCCTCGCTTTAGTCATGCAAACCCCAACTTTCAACCAATCAACCTCAATTAAATACTCAGTACCTTTGTTAAATGGTCATTCAATAAAAGTCCAGGTGAAACCCTTAACAACAAAAAAAAAGTCACCACGGCTAAAGCCTTTTAGGTTAAGTATGGGGAATGAGTATGAATTGAGTCGTGAGCCGACGAATCGGCAACCGACCTGTTATTAGTGATAACAGATGATGATCCTTGCAGGATCAAACTGAACTAGCCCAAGTCCTGAATCGAATGTTCGCGAAAGGCCTGTTCCATAAGACAGGTCAATGCCCAAGCTAAATCATCAGCATACGGGGGATGACCCTCTATAGCACATTCTTACCCAAGTTATCTACCAACTAAATGAAAATATACCCCTAAGCCAGTGCCCAAGCAAAGGTAGATTAACGGCAGGATCTCCCCTATTCAGGGTGGATCGTCAGAATCGCCATCTGTTAGAATATAACCTAACTCCTCTAAATCAAGAAAATTTCGGCAGCGCTTCCCGTAGGAAAAGTGCCTTTTCAGAATTCATATCAGCCCGAATATGAGAACAAAAATAGTCTTTGACTTTCCAAAGTCCAATTTTGTCTAACTCCCTGAATTAGCAAAAGTTTGGGCAGCACTCCCTTTAGAAAATGAGACTTTCCAGATTTTTACTAAGCCATACATGAATTTTAGACAGGTTGAACTTTGAGAAGTCAAGAATTGACTAACTCCCCCGATTTGTAAAAATTTCGGCAGTGTTTCCTGTAGAGAAAGTGGCTTACTAAAATTCATACAAAGCCAAGTATAACAAAAAATCCCAAAAAATGCGAGAATCGATCTAAGTAAAAACTTAGCTCAGAAAATGCAAAAATTGAACTAACTCCTATCGCTCGAGCACGAGGSGAGCCTCTAAAGCAACTACCTGTCAACCTGAAACTCAAACCAAGTAGTAGCCTCACTCAGCCACATGCAATGTCAAACCACAAAGGTAAGTACTCTCACCATCCCCAAGCCAACTTGGCAGACAATAGTTCGTAATCTCTTGATGCCTTATTCCCTTAACATAGGGCATAAAGTCAAGCCGTCCAATCTTATGGAACCTGCCTGACTCAGCCATTGAGTATACACGAACAGGTTGCACAACCACTTCTCTCTTCCYTTTGSGGCATATGACGAAGCCGTTCATCTTAGAACAAGGCTCARYCGCCCTGAACTGTTTAATATCCAAGTTATATATACCTCTCTGCACTTAGTCTTCCAAATGGACATAGGGCTGAGCCGCTCATCTTAGAACGTTGCTCAACCTGGCCAAATTTACCTTCAGTTATATCTCTTTAGTCATACTCTCTTCATTTCATGATAAGCTATAGCCAGGCCGTCCAATCTTATGGACCCATGTYTGACTAGCCTGTTCTTACATAGGATAGTATAGAATATARCCAAATTTTAACCTTTTGGGTTCCAGCATGTGCGAGGCATCGGGCCAGACCGTCCAATCTTATGGAACATATCTGGTCCTCTGCTAGGTTCGTTGCTCTCTGATCCACTGTGTGCGGCATGAGTCCAAGGCCGTCCAATCTTATGGACATGCCCTGCCCTCAGCAAAAATTATCCCCTCAGAATAAAACAAGAGGGGGCTGAGCCGTCCAATCTTATGGACTTGCTCARAYCTCCTCGATCAGAAACAAAAGAAACAGAACAAACCCAAACAAACATGGCAACCAAACCCTCCAATCTTATGGTRCAGGCTTGGCCCCTGAAAAGTCAACCACAGTCAACCCTCACAGYTCAGAGCAATCAGACCGTCCAATCTTATGGAACTGGTCTGATCCTCCAGGCAATTCAAAAATAAAACACAGCGGTCAGGTCGTCCAATCTTATGGAACTGGTCTGACCTCATAGGACCCTGTCAACCTCAGGCAAAACCACCTTTCACCCACCCCTTCTCCCAGACGCAACCCCTTGTGTTCACAATCTGCCTTCAGGCAATTAACAAACTGAGACTGCGATTGCACACACATTCCTTTATTTAGTCTGACTTGTGTCYTGCCAGTCAATCCAAAGTCAAAATAGGRGTACATACAGTATACTCAGTCAACCATAGCAAGACGTACAAGTAGGGGTTATATCAGGGTATATAAAGGGAAASCAAAYSGTTACCTTTCAATTCCCTGCCTCCAGAGCCTCGCCTAGGCTCCGGCAGAGCTCCCGCAATCGGTGGGCTGACTCCCCWCAGAGTCTTGCTGCGGTCYTACGGGTTGCAATCCCGCCTGCCGCCTTCCTCTTAGAACCAATGGACTAGACTCAGAGTAAGAAGGRCAGAAGTAGAGGCATTTASTCTCTCAGATACAAGAGAGGTGCACTCAGACTCGCAGGAGAGGGACTTGATACCTTCACTCGTCTRAGGGTCCCGCAATGGCAGCCAGTGTAACAGCTTGGCCAGACTGAGTCAAACTGCCCGAAGTCAAACACCTGACGGCTTCCCGAATCGCAGCAACAACCCCTTCCTCCACACTACGCCTTCGCTCCTCCAAGGTGCGGCTACAACTATACGACCCTCAAACTGCCGCAACCAAAATAGCGTAGTAGCCTCAGTCAAGCACTTCGTGCACAACAACACCCCAGCACTTCGTGCTATTCTACACGAATGCAACAGCCGTAGCAAAAATGCACAGCTCGCATCCCARCCCCCTGTTGGCAGAACACAGCGGCGGTGCTCRGCACACAACTGGCCACCCACAACGAAATTCAGCAGGAACAGTGGACCAAACCATAGCAGACTGTCGGTAATCCGTCTGGTTCGTYTCAACAGCCAACACGCCCCTCCCTCCTTAGTTTCGGTCACTCCAGCCCGTCTTCAGGCTCGCAACCAAACAGACCTCGTYGTTGCCGCCCTGCCCAGCGAGAAGACAGTCCGACGTCTCACAGACCCCCTGAATGTTGCCTTACTCTCCTTGGTTCCGACGAGCGGCGCGCCTGCCACCAAGTAAGCCTGCTGGCTTACAGTCCCCGTCCTTGCTTTGCGGATCTCGGYTGAGACTGCWCGGAGCTCCTGCGTATATAGTCCCCAGGCAAGTCCCCGGYCAAGCCCGATTGACAAAACAAGGCCTGATGGCACACAGAGCCGCCCTGAGGTATAACCCCTCGGCCAGGCCTAMGTCCGACCCATAGCCAAACTGAGCAGCTCACAGGAATCTCCCACTGYAGCGGCGCCGGGGACCAACGAGCTCACAAACAGGSGAAGCTTCGGCAATCGCAATGGCGTGCTCCTTCGGGATCACGTCGCAGGTGGAGAGGAGGCGGGAGCCCTTCCTCAGGAGCATAAGCCAGATACACCCGAGCCAGATAAGCACCCTCGTCCCGGCTCGTTCTGGCCCCGCTACTCACTCAGAAYGCGGAAAGGTGAGCGAATCCCCCCCCTCTTTTACTCATTTTCCCACTCCGYCATAGCCCAGCGAACCTTTTTCAGCTCCGACTCATATTCCACTACTCTAACASTGGTCCTAATCTGACTATCACGCTCGCCCAGCCACAAATCCCTCAGATAGCAAGTTTTCCCGGTCGATTCCGTTAAGAATCGATCGAGCTACATTCCCCCAAYTGCGCTCGACTCTCKTCTCCGCCGTTTCCAACCTCCCCTCCTCWGTCTGTGCACACCTGGCATGCACATTCAGTCTCGTATCACTGCCGGYTGCTCCTTASTCCGCCTCRCTTCTTTTCCTTAGCACTCCGCCCCGTCACTACCTTCGCCCAGCCCCCTCTCTCACGGATGTACCTACCGCGACTACCTGCCCAGGCACATCCTACCCCCTTCGTTGCCTCTGGTCRGYGYCGAGCAACCATCCGCCAGCGCTCGCTTTCTCACCCCGTTCGTGCCCGCTGCCTACGCTGTCACTCGTCATGGCCCCTTGTATGCCCTGCGCCAGGTACCATCCCCGTTCGCCCNCGCTCGCTTTCTCACCCCGTTCGTGCCCGCTGCCTACGCTGTCACTCGTCATGGCCCCTTGTATGCCCTGCGCCAGGTACCATCCCCGTTCGCCCCCCCCTGTTACTGCTCCGCTACCCCCGTGGCCTTCCCCAATGCCTCTTCCACCACCCTCTACTTCGCTTGCACCTTACCTGTTTCCGCACCCGGGTTCACCCCTTTCCCGATAGCATTTAGCGCAAGCCACATCTCTATTGACTGCCCCGACTGTCGAAACCTTTCGACATGCAAAATTTTCAGCCTCAACCGCTCCTCCCACTTCGTTATGACTCCGCGCAGGTTCAATCCTACTAACTGCCTAACTTACTAACCTATCAGTAAAAGTACCATTATAATCGATGTCGCCTCGTTCGAAAACCCCCACCTCGCCTCTCTTCCCTCTCGATTCTGTTTAGGATCGAGGGCGCTGTAGCCTTTGGGCTCCGTCCGACTCATCCTTCCGTCGTCGTTTCTTCTAACGAATCCGACGCAAAAATGCGCCCCGATTCATCTCCCCTCCTGGTTGTCGTCAACCTCAACTCCTACCACCGGTGCCCCGAGCGCCGAGCAATCGGTCGGGCAGTACTCAAATGCCGTAGTCAAACGCTCGGGTATCGGCCTCCCCAACTTTATCCATCCGCCCCCGCACAAGGACCGCGCCGACTGGCCAGCTCCCCTTTTCACTCCCGCTCTCGCCTGAACCCGGCGGGACCCGAGGCCAGACCCTCTTCCTCCACAACGAGCTCCACCACTCTCCAACCAGCTCGCTGTTGTCGCCTCCGCCCGTCGCTGCCCACCGTGGCCCAGTCGAAACCGCCGCCCGGGCTTAGTACCCTGTCGCACCCGCTGGGCTCCGCCCGGCCTGTCTGTCCGCACGATCCCGGTGCAGCGCGCACTGTCCCTCTGGCCCCCCTTTTGCCACCGGGTACCCTCGGCGCAATACCGAGCCCGAGTCCGCTTGCTCCCCATGACGCCCGCCACTCCGCTACACTAGCACCCCTCCCCTAACCGTGCTACGCCGGCTGGCCAGCCCCGCCACTCGCTCCTGCCCTCGCCTAACCCGGGCGGGACCCGCGACCAGATCCTCTCCTCACCCTCCCCGTCGAGGACTACCGAATGCCTCGAGAACCAAATCGCGGTGGTACCCCACCCGTGGCTCTTCCAAGTTCGGACCGCCAGCCGTGATACCGCGCCCCTTGAATCAGAACGGGACCGCGGATAATAATGAGAACAATAAATAGAAATAAAGAAACAAAACAAAAATAAAATAACGTAAAATAACTTATACACATATATGTAAAAGATCCTAATGACGGAGTGGGACTGCTAACACCCTACCGGTTCCGTAGGTCGGGTCCGTTGTAGCACCCACCAGCAAAACTGAGGGGGGGTAACCTCGTCGAGCCCTCAACCCCCTCAATTTCCGCCATGATGCTTCGCCGCTGCTGCACCGACGCCTGTTGGCCTCGATCCCTCAATCCCTGTAGTAGTAGCCCAACGCTGTAACCTATAGGGCTAAGCCCAAGCCCGGTCCAGCAAAGCGCGAGCTTCAATGTGAAGTGGTGCCGCGCAGTGCCCAGGCCTGGGAAAAACAGCCTAGGCCCTCCTTTCCCACCTTCAACCGGCGCGCCAACGCCCGACACTCACGCCAGCCTACTTAGACCCCATCGCGGCCAACCCGCGCACCTACCGGCGCGTCAGCCCTACTGTCGGCCGCGCACACCACCCAAGAACGACTTTAATCCCCTCAACAAAAACCACAGCACGGCCCGGGTCGGTCGACTAGACCGGCCGCTCCCTTAACCAGAAAAAACACACGCGCGCCTTAAAACTGCGCGCCCACATACCTTCTAGCTTAGTCAGGACGGGCACGGACGCGGCCGTTCCTCGCCCGACTTATACCGACCATTTTTCTATCATTTGCAAAAACCAGTGCGGATACCCTTGTAAGGGTATTCGCGCCGACAGCGTGACGCGCCAAACTATCGAAACGCCTTCAGGAGTCGCATTGTCGTCGATGCCGTCCTCCGCACGTACGCACAGGCCACAGGCAAACATTTCAATCAGCGAGACATTATCTTTTTAATCCCTGTTTAATCAGAAAAAAAATCCCGGCCGGCGACCACGCCGACCATTAAGTCATCAACAATTAAGAAGATCACGCGCGCCTCAGGTCTGCGCGCCCACACACTCCCTATTCTAGTCAACCATCCGGCCATCGTAACCATGCAGACGCAGACGCGCCTCGCGCGGTATACTTAACTTTAAGCCAAACTCATTTTTCTGTCATTTGCAAAAAACAGGGCGAATACCCTTGTAAGGGTATTCGCGCCGACACCGTGCCCTCACGGTAAGTCAATCCAGATGGCACGCAGATAACCGGGGTCCACACCGTTTCAGATTCGAATTTCAAGGCCCTGCGGCCCGCACGCTGTTTCAGGCCTGGGTCCACCGTTTCAGATTCGAATTTCAAGGCCCTGCGGCCCGCACACCATTTCAATTTTTTTTGGACTGCGGGGTTCCCAGGAAAACGCCACGGACAGCTACCGGTCCTGGATTTGCTTGAACTGCCGCCCCCCCCCAAATGCCAGTGCCTTTCATTTTACCAGCCTTTGAACGACCAATGGGACGAACGATGACGAAAAATGTCTCGGGGGGCGGAAACGCAACCCTGACGGGCTGCGAACACAAAACCCGAAAAGGCACCCCTGTTAAGGGTCGCGCCATCCTCCAGAGGAAAGTTCTGGGATCCGCATTTCTCAACGAAATTGTCCACTTTACGCACTGTCAGATCAGAAGCATATTGGCCGCAGAGAAAGAAGACCAAAGCCAATATCTCTGAACACGTGTAACTCTAAACGCGTGCTAGGGGGACCTCCCCCTCCGTGAATCCTCGACCCTTCGGTCAAATATGAAAAGATGGGACGGGCGTCCGTGCTTTCGGGGCACGGTGCCAGTAGCCGCGTGGCAGCCCCCTACGACGACACTGCACAGGCGGGACCGAGCCCCGGGGAAGAGCTGACCCAAGCAAGTCAATGGAAGTCCAATAATACATCGATAGGTACCCCCGAGTGGCATTGAGCAGAGACTGCTGATGTTCATAGGAGGCCCGAAAGGCCGTTCCAGATTCGACAGGTAATTGAATTGGTTGGGCGTTTTTTTTCAACAAAGAATGTGCACGGGATCGAACCGGCGAGCGACAGAGGCAGGGTGCTTCATGTGAGCGTGGAGCTGATATAAGAGCTAGATGTGGCGGCAGTGTGCACCTGAGCGAACGGGAGAGACAAGAGACAGAGGTGGGGTGCTTCACGCGAGCGGGCAGCTGGTAGAAGAAGGTGAGATCTCCGTTTTTCTCGCCGTCCCCTCTCTCCTTCCTCCTCCCTCTTCCCCCTTCCTTCTTCCCCCCTCCCCCTCTTCCTCTTCCTCCACCGGGTACCGTTACCTCTCCAAGAGGGACAACGTCTTCCTCCTCCTCCTCCTCCTCCTCCTCCCACTACAACTTCTACCTCTATTACTACTATGCTGTTACTCCTCCCCCTCCTATTACTACTACCACTTCTTCTACACCACCACTACTACTACTACTACTACTACTACTACCACTGCTACTAGGATTACTACTACTACTATTAGTACTACAACAAGTACTACTACTACTACTACTATCACTACTACTACTACTGCTACTAGGATTACTACTACTACTACCTCAACAACTACTACTACTACTACTACTACTACTACTACTACTACTAGTGCTACTACTATTACTATGAATACGGCCATAGCAACAATGTCAAGTACTAGAACCACTGTACAACTACGAATGCAGAAACAGCGACGATTCGAAGAGCTCGGACTCGAATTACTGCGCGCCGACGAGTAAGGAAATCGCAACAGAGGCAAGAGCTACTAGCACTGCTGTCCAATAACGAATACTAACATGAGCGGCGAGACAACAGCTTCTTCTACAGTTATTTCCACAGTTGTACCGCTGCTGCTGACGGTAGTGTGACGGAAGCTGTTTTCTACCACAGTAGTAGTACCAGCAGCAGCAGCACAATGGTAGCATATTGCTGCGGGCGGTAGCCGTGCGGTCGATACTGCAATTGAAGCTGTTTTATGCGACTTCCACTATTGTAATGCCGGGCTGCTGTTGCCCGTTGTTGTTGATCCTGTTAGCACTCCTACGGCCAGAAGAGTTCGACATATCTTGCCGCGGTCTCGGCGATCTATGAACCGAAATAAACCGAAATCAACCGAAAAAAATGAAACCATGCTCGTCCTTGTTCCCGGTAATCATGTCTCTATGGGAGTGATGAGAACGTTCGACTGTCTACTCTTATCATGCGGGTGCGTTTTGTTCGGGGGAAAAAGGTAGTATTCCCTGCTTTTCGTTGTTCTCCTCGTCCTCCATGTCTCTTCTGAGGACGATGTAGCAGTGCTCTCAAAGGCCCTCCCATCCTCTCCCCACCCTCCCCTCCTTTCACCTCCGCTCCTTTCCCCTCCCCCTCCACCCCCTTTCTCCCCTGATGCAGTTGAGGTTGGTGCGCTAGCAGACAAGATGCTTCCGGGATGGATAGGGCGACACGGTAGCAAGAGTCGTCAGGGAGCAAACTCGGTGTTCTTACTTTTGTGCGGAGTCGAAGAGAGTCGAACGGTGTTAATTAATTGCCCTTGAAAGCCAATCAAACGATTACTACCAATCGATGTAGGATGTTGACCTGGAGCTGACACGGCACTGATGTATCGCTGATGTGGCATTTATGCGCGGGTGACATGGAGCAGATGTGTCACTACGATATGTGAACGTGCTACGATCGTAACCAGCTTCAGCAGAATTCATCCAATCTCAGTCTTGAATTCACATGGTCACATCAAATTGAAAATTTACATGGTCACATCAAATTGAATTCACATGCTCACATCAACATAGAACTCGTATGCTCACATTAAATCGGATTCACATACTCGCATCAGAATAGGTAATCTACTAATCGCACACGGTCGACAGAAGACTTCTGATGCGCGCGCCACACCGGGGGCAATGGGGCGCAGCGCAGAAGACTTCTGATGCGCGCGCCACAGCGGGGGCAAGGAGGTGCAGCGCAATGCGAAAGGAGTTGTATATGGCGCTACCGTATGTGGCCCAATGCTATTCAGAACTTAGGATGCGAAAGAGCGCATCGAGGGTTTTGATACGGGATGCATCCCTCTGTCTCTCTCTCTCTGTCCATGTATTATCTCTCTGCCTATCTGATTTTTTTTTCCTTTTTCTTCTCGGGGTAACTTAAGTACAGGCACTGTGTGGGAGAGTGTTCGCCTTAGACACTGCTGTTATTCGGTTGGGGGTGGGGGGACGATGAAAAACGGAGGCGCAGCTACTGGCAAAATGCTCGGTCTTTGCGTTAGCCGGACCCCCACCGGCGGCCCACCCCATCCTTGACCACCATGGTTGGGGCGGGGGGCAACATGCATCCCCTCTGATGGCTGGAGGGAGACAACAAAAGCTATGTTTGCAGGGGTCCCCTGTATAAGCCTTAGGAGTAGTGGTAGGTAGGTAGTGAAGGTGAATTGAAAGAATTTGAAAGATGATGAAAAGATTTGAGAGAAGAATATCTGTCTCTTATACACATCTAGATGTGTATAAGAGACAGGAACACAACACACCCCCACGCAATCCTACTGACCGGAAAGCTAGCTTGTCTACATTGCCCGAAGTGCAAGTTGAAACTGTTTTTTTGCCCCACCCCGAAGTGTATTTTCCAACTCTTTTCGTGACTCGGGCGTTTTTTTTTCTTTTTCTTTTTTTTTTGTGTGTGTTGTCTGTGCGCGCGCGTGTGCATCTCTCTCTCTCTCTCTCTCTCTCTCTCTCTCTCTCTCTCTCTCTCTCTCTCTCTCTCTCTCTCTCTCTCTCTCTCTCTCTCTCTCTCTCTCTCTCCGTGTGTGTGTGTGTGTGTCGTTGCGAGCGCATGCGAATCTCTGTGCCTCTCTGCGTGTTTTTCCCTTTATTTCCTCCCCATTCTCTGTGTGTCATGTATGCAAAATAAACTGTTAAGATACTGACGACTGTTGTGTTTGTGTGACTAGCAGGTTATGTGTGTGAGGAGACTGCAGAGCAGAGAGAACAGTGTGCAGAAGCGCTGATTACGAAGCAGCGAGAAGATTCTCCTGAGGAGCACGGCACAATATATACAAGACGTCCTGGAAATTCTGCAGAGCACCGGTTGCAGTGGGCTTGACCAGCTATATACTTTGATTAAAAACTTTTGTCGTTGTGGGAGTACTGGTGCGTGTGCGTGCAACTCCTCGCAGAGGAGTTTGTACTTCATCGTTTCTCTCTGTGTAATATATAGCGCAGATGGCAGTCTCTGAGACGTTCCGAGTGAAGGTGGTACATGGAGAGGGACTTAAGGGATGGTCGATGCTTGTCTCACCGGAATTATACATCCAGCTTAAGTGGGGGGAAGAACAGCACGTCACGACGAAGAAAAAGGCCCGATGGGTAGAAGGTGCTAATTATGTCCTCTGGGTGGAAGAGTTTGAGTTCTCAAGAAGTATAGCAGGGAGTGGATCAAAGATAGAAGTCAATTGTTTTCAGTCTAATATGTTCTCAGATGACACACTGCTAGGGAGCGGTGAACTGTCTTTGGAGCGGACTTTCACCTACGGGAACCAAGATGTCCATGTGCAGCTTTCCAAGGGCAGCCAAGAAGCGGGTAGCCTGAAGATAGTCACTTCCTTCAAGCCGAATAAGCAACCTCATTCTCCTCTGCATACCGTAACATCGTCATTGTCACTCCACGATTCCCCCTTCCCTCCTCCCAATTTCCCAACGTCACTTTCGAGTCGCACACGTGCGCCTGCAGCAATGATGTCGGCACCTCCCCAAACACATTGGGGTCCCACAGGTGCGCCTGCAGTCCTACACGACCCCCCAATGTCTTGGTGCCCCCTAGCCCGCAGCAGTTCCGTGCCTGGCACTTTCGCCGAATTCCCAGCAGAGAACCCCCTGCAGCACTATCCTCCCCTGCAAGCTCCTGGGCTGCAAAATTCCCTCTCACAGTGTGCTTCCTCACAGTATCCTCCCCCACAATACAATTTGCAATATTACCCTCTACAGCACTCCCTGTACCCTCAGCAGCAACCCCAATACCCTCAGCATCACCACCAATATCCCACTATGGTAGAGCCAGTGGAAGTGTATGAGATCGCCGTCCCCGACAGCTATCCGGTCCTTGGAGAATAGATACCATGGATGAGGAGGGGAGAATCGTAAGACAAGAAGGGCACTGAAAAAAGTGGAAGTCTTGTGAATGGTTTCTCATAAATCTTTCTGTGGTGGCGTGTTAATCCACCTCTACTTCATTCAAGGTGGTTTTTACCAATGGCATCCGATCCGCAACCGGGCTATGGCGTGGGCCTGCTTTCTTTTCATTGCTATGGCGTGGGCCTGCTTTCTTTTCATTGTGGCTGGCGGGGCCTCCAGGCATCTGGGTGCGGTAGCCCAGGAGATCCAGAAGTTGTGGATGATTATATTTACACTCTTTTGTTTTTTTGTCTAGGGCAGGAAGTTATGGTCTCAGGGGTTGAGTAGTGACCCAGCATGGGAGGGTGACCTCGCAGAGTTGGGTCTTCGTTTTCTTAGAGTTCTTTTAATGTGTACAATAGTCACTGTGTTGTATGGAGATTAACTACCCTGGTGATGTTTCACAACTATTTCCTAATGCAGAGTAGTCTTCTCTTGGAGTTGGAAGCTTCACCATTGTTTTGATCATCTGCATTGGTTGGTCCATTCTATATTTGTGAGGAGTGGCGGAGCTGGCAACCAGTGCCAGTGGCTCGAGCGTATTAGTTAGTAATCAGAGACGAGACAGACCTGAATTATAATACATTGATCTGGCAGTGAGCTTTGGAGTTCATTCAATGTGAGGTGAACAGATGGGAACAACAACATATAAATCAGAACTGCTGTAAATAACAGACATCAGACCATGGCGTGAATGAAGGTCGTGGCTGCAAATATGTGGGTGGGCCTCTGTCAGGCTGCATCGGGTAGTTGCCTGTGGTTTTGCATGTGATCACACTACCTGATCTGGTAAGGGCTGGGCTGGAGGCAGTCCCTACCAGCCTGGAGTTAGAGACCTAGGCTAGTAGATCCCAAGGAGGCAGACTGGTGCAGCGAATATATTAGGCAGTGGGCAGTGGGCATTAGGAGGCATGAGCGCTGGCAGTGCAGCAGCGGCAAGGAAAGTAGCCAGCACCAGAAGCAGCATCGCTATCGGTAGTGCACAGCTCGAATGTGTGCAAGCCAAAGGAGGGGCAAGGGGGCACAATGCAGTGAAGGGAAGGATGATGGGGGAGAAGGCCAGGTCCTTGGGAGGGGAGGGTGTGCGAACAGCTGGATACGTACCTGGTGTTCGATGGGGGAGCATTTGTGTGATCAGACTCTTCAGCGGCATCTCCCGAGAGGAGAGGGGATAGAGAGACCGAGCGCTAGTAGGCAGTCACATGGTATAGCTCACACAACTAATTTCTGTGTGTGTGTGTGTGTGTGTGTGTGTGTGTGTGTGTGTGTGTGTGTGTGTGTGTGTGTGTTTCATACTTCTGTATGGTTTCCATTTGAGGTTAGTGTGGTGAATCTGTTGATCCAGTTCGCACATTTGTTTGTCCTGGGTCAATCCAGATTGTACAAACGGTTTGTATTAGGTTAGTCCTGTTGACTGGTCTGTCTTATTTCTCAAATCCTGTTGTAAGGCCTGCCGAGCTTCCTATGTTTTAGATGTGATTGTGTCCAGTAGCACTGTCTTTGCTTGTATAAATCTGACTTGATGTTGTTTCCTTTCGAATGAGCATCTTGCCCTCCATGGTAACATCAGCATATTAGCCTGTCTTGTGTGTATTTAAACAGGTATGCCCTGAAACCGTCCTTTTTCTTTGCAGTCATCCCGCGTGAAACCCAGGAGGAAGGATACCTTTCTCGGCCTTTTGGCTGAGATCAACTGTAGTATCTGTTCCATGGCGCTTACGTGAGGTCTGCTGCACGGTGCGCTGATCGCAGATGCACCAAAAAATGAAAAAAAAAAAAAAGTGTGGATACACGCTGGAGAGAGAGAGAGAGAGAGAGAGAGAGAGAGAGAGAGAGAGAGGAGCCCTTTGGCCCCTTTCACATTATTCAGAAAGCCCCTGCCCACACTTCAAAAGTTCCCTGCCAACTTAATAAGGATCTCGTCAGCGGGAGAAGAATAGTCGCTGGGCTTGTAGGAATAGCTTCGAATTCAGGTCCGTGTTTCAGCAGTTATGGGTTACTGACTTACTAACTTGGCATGTGATTTTCAGGGCTTCACTCCACTACTCACTGTATGTGCAAAACTAGAACGAATCTTCTCCTAGAAACTGGAACCATACAAGCCATATGTTTTCTTTTGTGCAAGTGCTGATGAGTGGAGCGAGGCTCTTAGGTCCACTGCACGTAAGAAAAGGAAAACCCCCAAAACGAGACAGCTACTGTAATATTTGTTCGTAAACCCATAACTCTTGGAACACACCTGAATCCGACTCCAGAATATATTACGGACCCTGCTTTGTGATTTTTCAGCAGTTCGATGAACGTCCTTCCACATGTGGGACCCAGAATATATTGCTGACCTGCTCGTGATTTTTCAGCAGTTCGATGAACGTCCTTCCACGTGTGGGACCCTTTGGAAAAGAGACAATCCAATGAGTACCATGTGGCACCAAATTATTTTTCCTGTGCACACTGCACTTACAATTTTTAAAAGGGAGGCACAGTGGCACACATTCTTTTTTTTTTTTTTTTTTTTTGAAAAGCTATGTTCTTCTCTCAATTTCACCTCACACTACCTACCTATGACTACTACTAATTGTAGGCATACGGGGAACCCCGTAGCAGCCAGAACCGTGTTCACAAGAGAACATGCAGGGCCTGTTCCCGACCTGCAGGTGGGGGATACCGACTAGGGGACAGCCGGTAGCATCAGGGACCATGCCAACAGGACCAATCCCTGTGCCTCCCCTCAGGTGGTGGTCCCCTCCCCTACGAACATCAGCAGACTCTGCTCAATGCCGATCGGAGGATCCAGTGGTCTATCTCTAGGTGGCGGGTGTCAATCATGCCCAGGAAGGTACATGAGGCCAATGGGGATTGAACCCACGACCTCCTAAATGCCACTTGCGAGCCTTACGAACTGAGTTAGGCTGCTGGAAGAGGGACACTTTCGGTTACCACAGCCTGTCCTTTTGATTTTTTTTTTTTATTATTTTTTTTGTAATTGTGCTGCATCACATCTGTGCGCACGTGTGCGCGTGCGCTATGCAGCGCAAGTTGATTGTGGCGCACGTGCTCAACTTGCGCGCATGTGATGCACCGCATGTATGATCTGTTCTCATCAGTTTAATATCTGTTCTGTGGTCCATCGGAACCCCTCCCAAAAAAAAAAAAAAAAAAAAAAAAAAAACAAGGAGGAAGGTTCTTGCATCCCAGGGTAAGGGAGATGCCATTAGGCGGTGTGCCAAGCTGTGTCCCACGATGTCCACATTTGGGCGACCATAGGGCAGTCCAGAACACAGTGTTCCAGCGTTGCCCTCTTCTTAGGTGATGACCAACCGCAGTAGGCGTATAAGGGCAAAGCTAATCCCTTCTGTTTCCGGTGAATAGTACCGACTGGGAGGAGGCGCAAAGAGGGCTTTCTTTATCAAGAGGCGGGCTGGTTTTGCCATTCAGTCTTTCATTCAAGTCTGTTTGCTCGTGTATTTTGGTCTTCAATGAGCTCTCAGCTTTTGCATCTCTCAAACGTTTTGTGTTCTCACATGCTGGTTCCTTGCACGCACACACACACACACACACACATTACTGGGGAGTTCTGTTTGGAGATTATATAAACTCCGACGAAACAGTTTGTCAGAGCCCCTCGTTTGTTGTCCTCTTCTCTCTCTCTGCCTACGGTTTTACCGGGCAGTTCTCTTTGTGACGATATATATATATAAACTCCGACGAAACAGTTTGTCATAGCCCCTCGTTTGTTGTCCTCTTCTCTCTCTCTGCCTACGGTTTACCGGGCAGTTCTATTTGTGACTATATATATCCTGATGAGTCGGTGAAACTCCGACGAAACAGTTTGTCACAGCCCCTCGTTTGTTGTCCTCTTCTCTCTCTCTGCCTACGGTTTTACCGGGCAGTTCTGTTTGTGACGATAATCAAACTCATCTTCTTGTCACTTTGTCATGCCTGCAAACATCGGTACAGCAACTGGCGACATGCGCCCACACAGTACTCAAGATATCGTAACCAGATATGAATTCTCTTCAACTGGCTATGGCGACTGGGCGCCCACACAACTCACTGTTCGCACTCTGGATCACCCTGAATGTCCCACACGCAACACTCAGTATCATACACAACACACACACACACACACTATGCTACAGCTATGGCAGCGCTAGCTGCCTCTACCCTATCGCTACACTACACTTCTCTGCCCACTTCGTCTTCGGGCGCACTGCAGACCGCCTCACACAAGCTGCTAAGGCAGCGCTTCCGCCTGGCATCCGCAGGAATGAATCAATGAATGGACGCAGCCTCTTGATTTATACTTCTGTGCTGCATTGGCCTGCCCTGTGTCCCTGGCCCATGGTGCACACAGTTCCCCCCGTGGTACTTGCTGGACCGGACTGGTACTTTCTAGACTCTCCCTTGACTGTATGACGGCGACCCTACGACGGAGTGCAATTGCACCGGGGTCCTACTATTTGACCTTGCCACTTGTCCTCATCTCCAACATGGGCTTGCTTTAGTCACACCACTTGACCACTTGCCTGCACCACTTGACCACTTGCCCGCACCACTTGACCACTTGCCTGCACCACTTGACCACTTGCCTGCACCACTTGACCACTTGCCAACCTTCTAGAAGGACTGCAGCTAGCCTTCTAGTCTATAGGTCTACGGATCGAATCCTGGCTACCTATAGACCTACGACAGACCTACCTACCAAGCAGTGGGGGACCAACATTTTTTGGGAGGGGGAGAAAGGGAATGGCAGGGAGAGAGGTTCTTTTTGGAAGGGCTAGTGGTCCGGAGGGGTGGTGTGTGGGGGGGGGTTCTTATGGAAGAGCCCTGACGAGGAAATAAAAAATTAAAAAATTAATACATATATGTCCTTATGTATATATGTGAAAGTATACATGTGTATATATATATGTGTGTGTGTGTATATGTATATATGTGTATATATCTCTATGTATATATATGTGTATATGTATGTATATATCGTCAAATAGAACTGCCCGGTAAACCGTAGGCAGAGAGGGAGAAGAGGACAACAAACGAGGGGCTGTGACAAACTGTTTCGTCGGAGTTTCACCGACTCATCAGGAGGCTGAACCCTCAACAGTCTGCAGAATCCCCTCAC